AATTGGAAAGGAATTTCCGCCACTGGTATATTTTGTTGTCTACCCTGATGTATCTGAACTCATGACCGCTTTCTGAGCCTCTCCGTTCTATCTCTCTTAGCATTCTTTATTGAGCTATCTTGTCTAACATCAAAGACTACGCCAATACACTAGCTTTCTGCTCCTTCATGCAAAAATATTAACATCATACAATCAGCCACCTCTGCAAATGTTTTTTGGTCGCCTCTTATCTTCTGAACGATTGTTATTCCGTTAATAGTTCGTGTACTCCGCTCTTGCGACGAAGAGACGCCATGTACTTGTCAAAAAGATCGACAAAATTGACACTACAAGCACTAGTCATATACTTCTGGAACTACCTTTTGCAGATATCATCATACAAATCGCCAATCTCACCAAATAAGCTCTCAACGATACTCTTGGACTGCTTAGAATTCTCCTCTATCCAGGCCCTGAATCCTTGCCACGCCATTCTCATAAGGGCTTCACTCACGAGTTTGTGGAGTCTAACACCACTACTGTACCTGCGTCCCTGTAGAACTTCTGCAACATAACCTTCTGCCATCACACCAGACTCTACACACAGGTTCCGCAAGCCAGCATCCTGGAGGCGCTTGCCAGTGATGGACAACATGGTGCATGCTGTGTGGAATACTTCCATTTTCATTATTGTTTGGCATACCGTAACAGTATTTGCTTGGGTGGTTTTTGTAGTCCTGGAGTAACTCCGTTAATGATGTCCTGGCCAAAAGAGTCAATAAGGGGCCAGATGCGATCAGGATATTCTGCTGGGATTTGTGTGTTGCCAGTTAAGAGAGTGTATAGAAACGCATCTAGTTCTTCTGGAGGTTTGACTGCACTTTCACATAGCTCAGCAGGTTTCGGAGGCTATTACATCGTACTAATATTTGGGAGAAGTGCATCACGGAAGTACAGGCCAGCTTGCTGAATTTCCTTGATTTAAGATGGACAGATTTTGGGGTAGAAACAAAAAGCTTTTTATTATCCAGTAGATCTTCAATTGCAATGAGTCACCCAATTCTGTTTCCAATTTTCTTCGAAAATTTTCAGTGTGAATTTGAGTGTTTCAGTAGCGTACATTGATCGCATGTAAGACGTCAGCTTCTCTCAGGTCAACCACCTGATAAGCCTTGGATTTTCTAATATATGTGATCGAAGAAACTCAAACAATTGGTCAAAGCTCTACGATGTCAAAATAACTTGTTAATATTCGATCACCGGCTTTCGAATGTTGGCAAGTATTTAGGCTAATGAGAAGAAAATAATAATTAGTCTTTATTTTTGTTTCCTTTGTTAGTAAGCTATAACTTTTAGGAGCCTAATCTCTCTACATTTTGGACGAAATGCGTCATAAAACGTCAAGGTTACACAAGAACTTCAACGCACTTACCAGGCAGCGATGCCGCCATCTTGGAAATTATTCATGATGCTCTTCGAGTTTCACTCTATGTTTTGATATAGTTTTCTTTCAAATAAAATCGTAAAATTGTGGCTTTTAGCCAAAAATTATTTTGAAGTAATGTTTTATGTTGAAGATACTGATTTACCTTCTATAAAGAAAAAACGAAGAAGTCACTTGAAATAATCGTTTTATTGTCGGCCTCGTTTCCATGTTTAAGAAGCATCTTTTGAAATAAAGGAGTACACAAGAAAGTGATGAGAGTTATACTCTTTCACGGTTGCTATCGAGTGAATTTGATAAGTCTTTCACATAATCTTTCATCAGGTAACACTCACATTTTCTACCCCGAGTGGTAATGAGAACCTACTCTGGCCCATGGACTTTTTTTGTTGCGTGCATAACACGCGTGCTAAGGTGTCTTTCAATCGAAGGATTTCACACTGAACATGATCCAGTTTGCTAAATCAAACTAGCGATTGTTTTTTTTCCGGATAAAAGACAAATATGGAAGGTTCACATTGTGCAATTTTTAAGCTGATGTTGTTTCAAGATTTTGATTTTGCTTCACTGAAAAAAAAAAAGTAAAAATGGCATTTCTTTCTTTCTGTAACAACTTTGAGCTCAAGTCGTATTTTTTAGTTATTGCCTTTGGTCAGTAAAATGATATTCATCTTACAATTGGAGTGTTGAACACAACGGATGATAGTCATGAGTTTTTGGACAAGATTCAGCTCCCTGCATTGGGTATTTATCATTTAACCATATATCACACACACTGGAGGCACTTGACTTCATCTTCTTATGCAACAGGCACAGTCACAGTGGCCATGGCATCAAGCAAGTCAGGAGCTCTTACTTCCATTTCTTTAATAAGCTGCTCCAAGTGAAATCTTCATGGGAAGACTAGCATGGTACTATTCCTTGTTACATGTATGACATAGAGGCCAGACCTTCCAGGCTTCTGCACTGTTCATCAATTTCCTCTTAAAACTGTAATCTGACGCATGCTTTGACACAAGGTAGCAACATGATAGTCTTTAGTGTTGCAGCTGGAATGCTTGTCTGCGATACAACCCATAGCTTATATACTTCATCCTTTTTTTTTTAATTTAGCATTTGCATGTTCTCTCAGCTGAATATAAAACAGAATGTAACTTTCTTAACATTGGTAAATATTTTCACTTTGAATGAAACTCTCTAGAATGCTTTTTATCAGGGTAAATTGGACAAAAATTCGACATGGAATTTTGAATGACACACAAGTATAATATGGTTGTGAAAAAAAAATGTTAATCACAAAACAAGCTGTAAATGTAGTAATATTGTTAAAAGACAAAATTGACTTCTAGCAAGAATTTTCATTATAGGTGCTTTTTGACTTATTTAAATGTTGAAAATAAATAGAATAAATATATTACCATAAGCCATTCAGTAAAAATTATAAGAAGCCAGTTGATCATTTCTTATTCCTTTTGGCGGTCTTATTTTAACACGTTCGACACCTCTTTTTCTTAGAGGTGACCTGAGGTGTAAACATGTAGTACTTCTCACCCTCTGCACTGAATTTATAATCAGGGAACTTATACGAATAGCACATTGCTCTCTTGGAGGCGGTACCTTGGGTACGCTCTTCCTTCCCTGAATTTTCTGTTTATTCTGTCGTTATGTAGCAGTCTTCGAGGACTGTTTTCTCTTAGGGTAACTCCTCAACTTTGATTTTAATTCTGTTAGTGGGTTTATTATAATTTTTATATTGTCAATCTTGTTTCTGTTTTGCCCGAACTTGACTGTAAGACTGAGAAATTTGAGGTAGAAAATCATTTTGTAAAACGTAAACATCTCGAAGGTACCTACTTAGTATGCGAACTCCGCTCTGCGTAGCTTGACGTGATCCGCTAGTTAAGTGTAAAAGCACGACGAAGGTTAGAGATTGACAGCTCAGTAAGGGTCACCTTTATATGCGGTGACCCACACTTTCCTCCAGAGATCAGAGCTAGTCCCCGCTGTAGGAACTTGTGTAATAAAAGAGAATTAAAGAAAGAGTCAAGTGAACAGATCGAGTGTTTGAGTTTTAAATCTAACAATATGTAAAACCTTCACACTAAAGGACCTCAGGATTTCTATGGCCAGCCTTCTCAAGTATTTCAATCCCTATTGATTCCTTGTTTGTCTCTTTGAAATCTTAAAACTGTAGACTTTCCGGGTTCGGAGAATGTGGCTATAGAAAAAACACAATCGTGGTGCACAGTCCACACATTCAATCGATTTCTTGTAGCTGTATAGCAAAGTTGCGATTTTGGGTCAATGATAATCTCATTTGTATTTAAAGGAACAAAAAAGATATTCTTTTAAAGTATAAAATAATACATTAACAAGAGCAGACGACTGCGCTCGACTACGACTGCGCTGCACAAGCTACGATTCATATATAAATATGAAAGGAAAACCTCTGCATCAACATCTGAAGTGTCTTCTCGGAGTACCTTAGACGTGGGTATAATAGATTTTGAGAACAGTTTACTTGCGGCAAAGCAGATAGTGAAACTGTGCCCTAAGAAGGGCTTTGAATGGCGACAGACCTCATTTCTGTGTTTTCAAATATAGAACTCTTTCTTCGCGATCTTCTTTACACATTAAGGAAAACTTCTCGATTTCTTCTTTGATACTGAATACAAGATTGTAGCAAGCATGCCCGACAATTAATTATTTTTTTTTAATATTTTATGCTATTCTGATATACTTTTCTACATGTTTCGTTTAATAAATAGGCGTTGCCTCATGTTGACAGATTTATCAGATGACAAGAATCGTGATTGACATTAATTCAATAGATTGATTTAAAAGCGTTAGATTATGACGTTTTAAGTCAGTTTTTCAGCAGAATCGAAGTGAGAAAGAAGTTATTTTGTTATCGTTTTTCTGTCTCTAAATCCGCTTACCTGGAGAATCTGCTAACCCCTAAAGTAAGACTGTTGTAACGACCCGCCACAGAAGTAAGTTTATATCGAAGTTTTTTAATTTAGTTACAAGATAAAGTCTTGATTTGCGTTTGTTCTAATTGCGAATTATAAATGTATTTCTTTTAGATCGAATAATTATTAAAGCTTGGCTTAATATTATACGGTTTGTGGTGGTCATTTGATCTAACCAGTTCCGAGTACATTTACATATCCGCTCGATTGCACGGCCTCTACAATGCCTTCTTTTCTGCTTTTTACTCGAAACAACTAAATAAAATGATTTATCTGTACTTGTACGTCTCTGGCAGGAACAACAGCAATCCATCGTTCCATGAAAAACAGCTTCCCGCCATTGCAGCATGCAGCGGCTTTGGATGGATGTTTTCCACGCATCGATAGGCAGTTTACGATTGAAAACTTTCAGGCAAAAAAGAAAAAAAAAACAATAGTTAAAACATCGATCGATCCCTTCTGAAAATCACACTTTCTGTGTGGAGTCCATCGTTTTTCCATCAATCAATCCAAAAATTGAATTAATTCATTCTCTCTGAGGTCATTCTTTAGCGACCATACCGCTGACAAGAAGCCAAGATGACCCTGGGTTGAACTATCCCATGAAAAGGTCCTTGAAGTTATCATACAATAGAACCGTTGTCCTCAAACGAATCAAACCACAACAACAGTCTAACTTTGATAAAAAACAGAACTTTTCCACAAACCTTGCGGGAATATCACACAATTTTAAAACTACTCAAACCGTTTCTTGAGTCGTCGCCATCAAGGTCGTAATTTACATCTTCGATTAACGAGCTTCGTGCACGCCTTTTTTCTCTCTGATGTATTTTTCCTTTTAATTTTTAACAAGCACAGCGTGTGCCAACTTGATGTGACAGCTTTGAAAGGAAACCAGAGGTCCGCCTACAGCCACAATGGTACGCGTTAGACGAGAATGGCAATCGTTTTGGAAGTTGCTTAACGGGAATGGAATGGAATACATCGCGTAAACAATCCATGTCTGCGACACGATGACACATCTATGCTTTTGAAATTATACCGGTTGCTACGTTGTGCACAATGGAAGAGTCGAGAGCTAGGTTAGTACGTGTCTAAATTCAGCTGTACAAGTTCACAGTTCAACTTATGTTACAAGTAAGCAAGTGCCACGTAGCCCTATTACAATATCATACATGCCTAGCAAAGGTTTCGATTACCCTCCAGTAGCCAGAAGGGTTTTGAGTGGAATTACGCGAAACAATTCCATGTTTGAATTAATTTGGCCACAGTGTTGCAGTTACTGTAACATCAGACTCTGACGATGACAGCCTGATGAAGTCTGTCTTGGCAACTTCAGAAAATAACGCCACAAAGTCAATTGCGGCATACCAGGAAAGAGGTAGAATGCAGGTTTGATGGTTTGTAAACAGCAACAATTCAACAAATCCTTATCCTGAATACAATGAAATCCCATGATATCAAACAACCCACAAATTTCTAGTAATAGTTAACTACGAAGTTGACGCCTTATTAATTGCTAGTATAGTCATACTGGAAGCAAGAGAGAGGAAAGGATCGAAAAAGTAATGAGTCATGATAATAAAATTAGGGTAAATTATGGAGCTGAAGAATATAATGTGAACAGTAAAAGATGTAAAGCCTGTGCCAGGTTTGTGCTATACATTTTATGTTACTATTATTAACCTATTTCCAGAATAAAATTTGCATCTGTATAGCAGATACATAATTAAAAGTTGAAGTTTTGAGTGGGACATGAATTCATAGTTGTTAATTACTTCCTTGTTACCGGTAATGTTTACATTCTCTTCATTTCAGATGATAGTCAATTCAGCGAACTTTTTCGATGCTTCCAAGAGGTGCTTGAGCAAAGAGATGTCCAGCCCCTATTTGTGAATGTCATCTTCGAGGAGGTATGTGTTGATGACCTGTCATATTTCGCTTGTCAGCCACCCACAGTTATATAAAAATTTGACAGCCACAATTATTGTTCTCATATCACGTGCTTCCTTAACATTTACTTTTTGATATTCACAAAAATTGCTTAATTGCATATATCAATACATTGTTCTTTCTTGGATGTTTGTTTGGAAATGTAGATGCCATCAAGTGGCAAGAACCAAGAAAGTTTTGGGCTTGGCCCTATTTTACACTGGGAACAATGACGAACACATGGCAAGGTAAATTGCTTAATTACAACATTTAAGTTCTTAAGTGCTTCCAAACCTAGAAATATTTACCTTAAAACTCTTCAACTGATGAAGACTGTGATGCTTAAGACACTTGATATCATGTTTTGAAGCAAATCTATCTGTTAAGAAACCAATGCTCCATTGTTTTAATAAATTGAAATCCTTTTTTTCCCCTTTGGTTTCACCTTAAATAGGTTGTTAAAGTGCTTGGCACAATTTAAGTCCATCATCTTGTGGATTGACAATGCTAAAAGCCAAACTGGAAGACAAGGTAGTGATATTGTTGATTAAAATATATACCAGTACATAATAGAATAATAATATATGCACAGGTTGTGAGAATTGGATTTAAAAGAATTTAATAGGTTTACAACCATGAAATTAACATTTATGGGTAAAACCAATGTTGTTAATGTTGATGTCTAGAACCTGTCACTCTAATCAGATAACTAAGACTCCAGAGCAATGTTCCTTTCATCATAGCACCACCAACATTTGTAACAAATAGCTACCCCAAATCAAAACATAACATTCAAATTCATTAAAATACTTGAATATTTTCCTT